ACCTAGCTTTGCGAGTCTGATTGAAGTCTTCCAAATCTGTTGGATCATCTTGACCAATCATTTCATCAGACATAATGTCATATTTTTTGGTTTTTCGTCGAGGGTCTTTTGGTTTACTGCGACCTGTGGGGGTCTTGTGATAGTTCCCAGTTTCCTCCAAACCCAGATTTACTATCGGGATAGAATCAATATCTACCCCATGAACATCCGGACCGATGGAATTCAAATTCCCCGCTCCATTCTCGCTATCGATGTAGAATGGGTCGTCTCGATACTGTTCCCTTCGTTCTGCCTTCTTCAATGTCATAGCTGACACCCCGTCTATATCTCGCACGGTATGGTTTTGATATGACGGGCTGGAACAAATCTCATAGCCGAAATCACCGGGACTAGAATGTTCACCAGACGTCGAAGTTCCTTGCAGATAATAAAAATCTTCTGTGAACGATTGGATCCTAGGCCTCTTCGGTCGACTATGGCGAGAACTGAAGAGGCCGGGTAAATCTTTTTGAAAAGCTTCATCGAGGGTGAGATTCTCCGGCAGAGGAACCTTCCTCTGGGCGCTGGCAGCCACCGGATTGAGTTCTAAACCACGAAACATCCCGGGAATGATCGAAGACAGCAGAAAAGGGATCTCATCTGCTGCGTGGCTTTCCGACTGGATTGAATCCACGGCCAAGCGTGCGACTTCCAGAAATTCGATGGCTCTCTCCTGCACATCCAAGTCCGGGTGAACAGTCAAAGCCTCGAGGAATCTAGTAATGCGAGTCAATAAAATTGTAGCTTCTCTCCTCCCCTGCATATCCCACGGTACATCTTCTGCGAGGATAGTTCCCACGAAGATTTTTAGGATTGCTTGTATGGAAAGTGGAACCGCATGTGCTGATTGTGGCGTGGTGGCTATCTCCATCAGTGATAGAAGGGTCTCGCGGGGTGATCGAAGATGCTGTGCAAATTCCCCGACAACCCATGCGAGTGGTCCTAAAATATCGGTATCCGTTGCCGTAATCCTGGGGAACACTGCATCCCTGTCTTTGGTGAGGATCAGACATTCCGCTGCTGTGGTCGCCTCTGATCGAACCTCTTTCACACGAACAGAGACATTGCGTATTTCGGAAACAATCCGGTGTCCGATACTACCTTGGTTGCGGCCTTGCCAAGATGGGAAGCAGGAGTTTCCTCGACTGCTTGCGGGAACGAGTTTGACCAGTCGCAACAAAACACCCACGTACCACTCGAAATCCAGAAGGTTGGAGTAGTTCTTATAAGAGCATATATCAAGAATCCGATGTAGTACTTCAATGCTGTAATCCTTCGGCAAGAATGAAGACCCTGTATGAAGCATTGAGTATTGTTTGTGAGACATGTCACTTTCCGTGCACATGTCTCCCTCATCGGCCTCATATTGATCAGGGAACACTTGATGTTCGTCGTCCAGTTGATTGATCAGCTGATTGACAAATGGCACAAGTGTCTCGCTGGTCACTACTTGAGATACAAGATCAAGCGCCTGTAAACGAATCGAAACATCCGCATCTTCCAGACAGCCCAGGATGACATCTTGGTGCGTTGCGACTAGCCTGGGGTATGAACCCGCGATTCGATTGAACGAAAGCAGTGCGACATATTTCACTGGTGTGTCAATTAGCACTGTTATTGAGGCCGTGGACGTAAATTACGTACGATTGGGGTCAGAATCAGTGACTATCATGCCACGAAGTTTCCCAACGCACAAACTTGCGATCTCGGTTGTCTCATCAACAGCCCCATCACCGTCCAGTATCCCGCCCTGTATTATGCCGTTGATACACTCATATAGTAAAGACATTGCAGAAGTAGTTCTGATGATATTGGTCAGAGGTCGAAGAAGTTTTCGGATTAGCCGGGGTTCTAAAGGCGTTAAAGTTGCAAACTGCCATTGTTAAAAAAGAACTACATGCCCAGGGAGATAGACATACAAGTTTGATAACTTTTATTGCCATCCAGTTATTTCCTCCATCCACCAGCAGATCGAACAATCTTGGTGCTAATGGGAGTAAATCATGGGGCCTTCTCCAACCAAGTTCACACACAACATTTATGGCAGCTGTGGTCACACTATTGTCCTCATCTTCATCCATAAGTCGATCTTTTATCTTTGGCCAGGCCACATTGAGCGCTTCCGGATAAACCAAGGCCAGTCGATAAAGACAAACAATAGCTTTCTTACGGACAACAGCGTGCGTGTGAGATATTCGGGATAATACATCTGATACCAACGACATAGCAAGGGAAGGCGTGATGATATTTGGCAGAGTTATCAAAGGAAGCGAGATGTTTGGGACGCCGGGAGATGCCAAATCCTGCAAGTGCATTAGACAGCGAAAATGATCGTGGTAGGAACTTCATTTTTGTACCTTCTTCAGCAGGTTTGTGGCCAACATTAAGATCTCGGTATCGGTTCTGAAACTCTGTACGGCCCCAAGATATCCAGCTCGCTTGAGAAGGTATTTTGAGGATGACATGACTTCTAATACGTGAAAAGAGGCCCAAGACATGTCGTACCCGAACATCTCCAAGTATAACAGTTTCAATAGAGCAGTGGCCTTCTTATCTAGATTTGTTCAGTCGTCGGCCAGACACATTGAGGCCAGGAGCGATGCGAAACATACCCATGTCTTGTGATTTAACCTCTGCTCTACATTCTCGTAAACTACTCTGTATATAGTCATCCTCTGCAGTTCTATGACTTCTTAGACCCTTTATAAGGTCATAAAGAGATTTCTCAAACCTGCCGCGACTATGTCAGTAATAATATATACCACAACAACGAGACTAACATATTGTGTAGGGATGTCAGCGGTTGCTGATGGTCTTAGTCTGCCTCAGGTTCGGTCGAGATATCTCTCATGTTTTCAATACATCATATTATCAAGGAAAGCAGTTGGTCAAGCATAACACTTCATAATATCCCCAAAGTATAATGTATGTTCGTACAAATGTTGGAAGAGACACAGATGAGAACGTAGGTATACTTCTGACCAAGATTGTGGTTTCGGAGCAAGGATTAGTCACGCCGTCACCTCCGCCCCGACCTGCGCCTATTTGCCTATCAGCAGACTAAGATACGTGACGTATCTTCGTCGTACCTAACTAGGTTAGTAGGTACATCTATTGTCACGCAGTTTGACAACCTTCTCGCAGTGACCCCTATATGGTGTTTGTTTTACACATGATGATAGGATTTCTCAGACTCAACTGACTCTCAAGAATTTCATATCTAATATGCTATCTGTGACCCTATAAGCCTGTATCCTCGTTATTGTCTAACCTTCTAGATTTGAACGATCGCATAGCACTATACGTGGTTTCACTCGCAACATACCTTGTGTCCTGACACGATCTTTCAACAATATGGGGCACCCATCCCTAGAAGGCCAATATTCCCACAGCTCCAGCTTGGTCGATAACGTCAGATTCTCACAACAAGCGCCCATCATCCTTGGCGCAAAAGCTACTTCTGCGAAAATAAATTTGTTGCCAGCTCAACAGGAAGATCCGAGCCACTATGTCTTACTCGAACAACTTTTCTTGTCTTGTTTGCAAACGGGTGACGATAAATCTGCCCTACACTGCCTTGAACTGTTAAGCGATCGGTTTGGTCCTTCCAATGAACGAACTTCTGGCTTGTATGGCATCTATGAAGAAGCTGTTGCAAAGGGACAAATTGGGTTAGAGAAATGCTTGCAGAAGTACGACTCGATACTTTCGGAAAATCCGGTCAATTTGGTTCGTGTCAAACCAGTTATTGACGTGCAGGGACTGACCTTTTTTTGGCAGCCAATTCTTAAGCGTCGAGTTGCGATTTTGCGCTCAATGTCGAAGCCCGTGGAGGCGATCTCCAGTTTGGTGGAGATCTTAAAGGCTGTTCCCACAGATGCTGAAGCGTGGTGCGAGCTTGCAGACTTGTATGTGGCTCAGGGAATGACACACCAAGCGATTTTCTGTCTTGAGGAGTCTCTGTTGATTGCAGCCAATGCCTGGAATGTAAGTATGGATTGTCAGTCAATATCTGTGTTTCACTTCCCATGTCCCTTTCCCACAAACCTCCGTCACTATGTTACTCGAATCAAGGATCGCTGAAAACCATGAATCAAATTAGATCCATGCTCGGTTGGGCGAAGTTTTATATATCTGTGCTCGCTCGGGCGATGAGACATCTGGCCAGTACTTAGTAAGATCTATACGATGCTTTTGCCGGAGCATTGAGCTTTGTGACGATTACTTAAGGGGATTTTATGGCCTTGTCATGGTTAGTCCTAATCGATCTTGCGATAATTCAATATGGTCTCCTAATTGACACTTCCCAGGCTACTTCACCTTTGTTGGATGGGAAACAAGGGGATACTAAATTCAAGATCTCAGCTGCGCAGTGGGAAAAGACAATCCCGGCAGCTACAATCTCGAAGTTACACATCTTTGCAAAGAGACGTCTCGAACACATTATAGAACTACGGTCATCGGATCATCAGTTGTGGGAGTCCTGCCAAGGAGAAATCATAGCAGCAAAGGAGCTATTGGATTGTCTCCAGGACACAACCTGACGAGACCAGAGACTAGTATGTTAGCGCAGAACAAATAATGGGAAGAATCATGGTACTTTTTATATTGCAATACTCGAGACATAGGCCGAGCAATGTTACCTATCGCATCCCAGAGTGCTGTTGCTTGCGGGCATGCGGACCTTTGAATACACCAGAGTGACTCACCATCCCTAAATGGTGTATTATCATGATTGTGTAGGTAGCGAATACAAAGTTTTTCATTGTGGGATATGTACACTGTATACAGTACCTGGTCACTGCAGGCCCCTGTGCAGAAGGCATCAACGTTCATTGGGCACTTGGGCAGCAGCTCGCTGCCAGCAAATCGGTGTTGCAAAATAAGGTCGCCAGCTCAGTGCCTAACAGGAAAAGGTCATAAATGAAAAACCCTCTTGGAAAGTGATATGCCCGAAACTCCACTCGAAGGCCCAACTATAGGTAGTCAGTTTCACGCGCAAGTTAGACTAGTTAAGTCGACTTTCTCTCGCCACTTTCGACTGCGTTTTCCGTACCTACCCCTCATCCACACACATCTCTATCTTAGCTTCTGTCTATACTTTTTGTTCTGCACCAATTTTTCTTGCCTTCCTTTTTCCAACCACACATATTGGAATCGTGCCTGAAACTCACATCCTTCTAGTTTATACTCCCAAGGAGTCTATTCGGGCTGCTTCCAATGTCATGTTGCATAATTGACATTTAGCGCTAATTCCATAGCCCTCGAGCGAATTTTTGAGAGCATTCTCGAAGATAATCCAATCTGCCATCACCCTTGAGTTGTGTCACCAGCCCCGAGGATTGCTACAAAACAAACAATATCCTCCGTTCCATCCTCTGTTTTTCCTTGCTACTATTACTCCATCATCTGTATATCTATCCTTCATCTCATTGAGATCTCCAGGGGGGAAAGCCCCTCCCTCCCCTTGTTTTGCAGTCACAACTCTCGAACTTTTCGGATTTCCTCTCTTTGATGGTGTTACGCAAAACATCACTTGAAAGCGCCGGGAGATCTTTGAACGCGCCAACATTGTGTCAATCGCATACCGTGCTTCGCATTGTATCTAACCCATAGGTAAACTCAATGACGTACGTTCCAGTATACATAGCTTTATTTTCTATTTATCTATTCTCTCTCTCTCTATCTATTTTACATAGTTCTAACGGCCGCACAGGTTTAACATCAGAATTGGTCCTAGTCCTCATGGCTCGGATGGGTCTTCGATATCCGATGAAGAGGATTCTTCTGGAGTGCAGGTTTCACCTCCTTCTGACGTTGGGAGTCATGACTACCATGACCCATACGGCGAATGGGCGCACTTATCGTACCCCGATGAAATAAAACCTTCCGATTCTGCCTCTCGACCTAGGACATCACATCAAGCAAGAAATCGTAATCCGGTACGTGGCTTGTCTTCTGATCGACGGCATTCAACAAGACGTCAGTTTGCGCCGGAGCGTGAATCATTCCAACGTCGCTCTCGCCGCCATCCTTCTCCAGAATCTCCAGAGAGTATAGACTCGGCGGATGAATATGGTGCTCACTATGGTCGGACGTCTAATGAAAGAAGATATTGGTCACCAGCGGCCCGGGGACCAGGTTATGCACGTAGCTCCTCGCCGGGGCCTTCATATACTTATCCCAATGGTGCTGTGCCTCATGGTACATTTGCACATCCAAGCGCACCGCAACCCCCCTCCGATCAACTCATAAGAGTCGGCCATAATTATCAACATAGCCAGCCGCCGCCTTATGGTCATTCGGCTTATGGCTATAACCCTTCCATGCCCCACGCCCACGGCCATCCAATGCCACCGTTTTTCCTTCATGATCACCACGGAGGACAGCATGTGCATCATCCGACACCATCTTCTCATCTGCGAAGCGACGGTCACAGCTCGCCACAACACTCAATCACTCATCACATGCCGCCATCTCGTGGCCCCATGCAATATGGCGGCCCGCCATTAGGTCCCAATGAATTGGTCCCTTATGGTCCAGGGAACTATTATCCATTTAGGGAGCCATATGCAATGGTTCCGGGGATGCTTCCACCCTATTTCAACAACTACCCTCGTGTGCCTTCTCCCAGCCAAGTTGAGTCGAATGGATCTCCAGCGCCACAACCTACAGATCCTGCGAAAGATGAGGCACTCGCGCGACTAGAGAAACTAATAATGGATGAGAGAATCGAGCGCGAGGCTAGAGATTCTAGGGAAGCGGCACGCCAGGCTGCAATCGAGCAGGAAGCCGCCGAGCAAGCTGCTAGAGAAGAGCGCGCCGCACATGAGAAGAGAATCACGGAAGCAGCCGCTGCTCAAGCTAGGGCAGAGGCAGAGCAAAAAGCCGCGGAAGAGGCTGCAAAAGCCAAGAAAGAGGCGGAGGAAGCAGCAGCAGCAGCAGCGGCAGCGGCAGCAGAGGAGGCGGCCGCAGCGGCTACCGACAAAGCAAATGCAGCGGCAGCAGAAGCTGTTGCTGCTGCAACCGCAGCAGCTGCTAGTAAATCCGCGGAAAAGAAAAAGCCAATCAAATTCAAAGATGCCGTGGGTAGGAAGTTCAGCTTCCCCTTTGATCTATGTTGCACCTGGAAGGTAGAGCATCCCCTTGTCTCGTTTGATCGCAACCCCGCAAAGCTTTCTATGCTGTGTCTGACTCCTTTGCGTGAAGGGAATGGAAAATCTCATCCGCCAAGCTTTCCTCCACATCGAGGTAATTGGGCCTCATGTCGCCGAAGGGCATTATGATCTGATCGGCCCAAATGGCGACATAATACTTCCACAAGTCTGGGAAACCGTCGTTGAACCGGACTGGGCTATAACAATGCATATGTGGCCTATACCGGAGAAACCCAAGGATCCTGATCCCGCCTCATCTGCAGAGCCTCCTGGTTCTGAAGTTTCAGCCCCACCTCAACCTTCTGTGGCGCCTGCGGCAGAAGCTGCGAACCAGGGAGACTCAAAGAAAAAACTCGAAGGGATAGGTATGAAATCTCTCTTTATATGGTGACCCGGGTGCTTTGTCTTCAGTTGGACTTTTGCCTCACTTGCTTCGGTTTTGGGATACTACACATCCTTTATAATAAGCTGACAATTTTTTTACAGGCGTTAAGAAACCCCGGCCGAAAGCCCCCGATCCCGGGGCCTTCGCCATGTGGATGGTTGGCAACCACCGTGGGAAAATCCAGAAGGCTTTAAAAGCGGGAAAAAAGCCTAAAGTAGCCGTCCAGCACGGAAATTGCTGCCGTGTTATGTGACGGACTGGGTCATCGAAACATAGTCGTCGCTCAGATTTCCGGAATCACACTTGACCCTGCAAGGTGGTTTGAGCTTTGGGCTAGAAATACTTGATTCGGTCTAGTTATGTTCGTCTACTTTGGGGTGGCATGGCTTTTCCTCTCGTCTTGACGGGATTGGTTTCTCATGCCTCGGGGGTTGTAGGTACATTCATGTTTTGTTTTACTATATCTGTGGACAGTCGTCAATATTGTGCGTTTCATTTTTCTTTCTAGGTTGGGAAGCTTGGAGGCTTTCGTGGTGTTGGAAGTCATGGAAGGCTTTAGCTTACTGTGACTTGCGGATATACCCTATAGAGCATTGATTTGTCCAATCGATATCGCAGAAATCAACTTTCTCTTGTTCTATTCATTTTACGTCGAGTAAAAGTTTATAAGGGGGGAGGGAAGGATGTTTTACCTCAAAAGTATGTTTTAGGCTACTAGGCACCCAGAAGCCAAACCGTAAACTTTATAGGAGACTTTGATGCACGAGCTTTAAAGGATGTGTTGCATTATCAGGCATTATTGAGGGACAAGGGGTTTCCAACCGACAGTTTCACTTGCATGTCCATCAAGCAAATTACTGTCTTCCCCTTGTTGGATGTGTGTCAAATCAATTAGATTCGAGGAAGTATCACAGCGTATATTACCTGCAAGATGTCCCTTCGAATTATGAGCTTCGGCATTTGACATGCTCTTGTCTGACATAGGCATGGTCCGTTCTTGCTGAGAGCTCAGTGAGACGGGTTTTCGTGGGATTGGTGGCGCTTTCTGTGCAGTGTGGAGCTGTGTCTGGGCAATGCCACTTCCAGTGTTTTCAGATTCGCGTTCCGATGAAAAGTCAAGCAAATCACCATGCATACTCGAGCGGTTTTGTGAAGTACCATCCCTCGGTGGAAAACGGTGTCTCCCATTGGTATCATCACCCTGTCTTGTAGTCCACTGGGTCTTTGTTGAGTTGGGCGATGAGACCCAGTCGTCCTCTTCATCAAAATAGAATGGATTGGATTTGCGATGAGGATTTAAGATATACCCATCAGGTGAATCCACCAATGACTTGGCAGGGGTGCCTAATAGACTGGTTAGGGTTGGATACTGAATAGGATCGGAAGCATAACGGGGAGCAGAAATGATGAATAAAAAAGACAGGGTTGCACATCAAATTTTTATTTCACATACCGTTTTCCAACCACCATTTATGATTGTCTGAACTAGCCAACGGCAATCCAGAGACACTGGACTTGGGTTGAGATACCTCCTCATCTCCCATGTTTGTTTGGTCGAGTTTGTTGGATAGGATGTTGTGGACATCATCTTGTCTTTCCGTGTACAGAGTACGCCTGAGCGTATTCTTTTTTTCCTCGTCGATGACGCTGATTGTACATGAAAAGATAGCCCAGACCGGACGATGATCTGAAATGTACAATTTTGCCGAATCGTATTTCGACTGCGAAAGGCCAGAACCCCTCCATAAGATCCTATCGCACCAAGCAGGTATACGTGATTTTTCCCTAGACAAACTTAGTTTTCACCTTGGCTGGCGAGTTGGTGCCTTACGAAGTGTCGTAGTTATCGCTGTATATATCAAACTTATATGTCGGGGGGAACATAATTGGTCCCTCAGTGTAAAACCTAAAGGACCTCCCTTTCAACATGTTGAGATTAAGCTGTACTAAGCGGTTAGCGGGCAAAATATGACGATTTTGGAGGTTAATGTACTTGGTCGTTGTTATAAAGCTTTTCGTAGTTTCCCTCTAATATGAGATCTCTAACAAGTTGATTGTTAAGACCAACACGGTAATTAAAGTCACCGAGCCATATAACGGCGTCATGGTCCTCAATGGATTTGTTGTTTTGGAATCTCAAACCATGACATATGGTATCATAGTCCCTGTTCCTTTCGTCGTCATTGGCAAAGCCCGCTGCAAGATGGGCGGTGACGAAGCATATCCGAGTGTTGGAAAACTCCAAGCGGATTGCGCAACCGCCTTTGTTGCCTGCCATACCCGAGAGTCCAGTCTGAAGAAGTTAGTCTGCGGCTAATCAGGCAGCTACATTGACTGACCTTTTTGATATTCCCTTCAACGTTCTTTATATCCTTCAACGCGTCTTCTCTCACGTAAATCATGAGGGCAGTCCCCACAAGCTGGCCACTCCGTAAGAGGGCATATTTTGGGGTTCTTCTCAAATCAGCACGAGCATTTAGACAATCCTTGACTGCACTTTCCCAAACTTTGCGAGTAGTAGGATCTGTCGACATTATCTGCTGCGGACTCAAAGCTACGATCTCCTGGAATCCAACTGCGTAAATTAGTGGATCATCATCTTGCTGGCTGAACCTGGGCAACAGCCACGGCGATAAATCTGTTTCTGGTCCCTGGAGACGTCCATTGACGTTAAATGTTCCAGTCCAAATCTTGATGCTTTTATTGTATGAGTACTCCGATGACCGCCGAAGCAATTCCTCTGACACTAGATCATTGATTGGATCATAGATGTGCACTGGTACCTGATCAGCTAGTCGCCCCAATAAAAGGTCCATGGTTCTTTGGCGGGCTCCGTCTGCAAAATTGCTGACATAAAGCCGCGTAGCAGTTTTGCGTGCGTCTGCGAGAGCGCCAGCAAAAGACATTTTCCCGTGGCGCGTATAAGAGCTTTTCAGTGCGCCTGTACCGGCATATATCTTAGACAAGGCATCGCCGTTGTCAGCCCAGAGGGACGAATGCCTCAGTTGAATATCAGAACTATATATTCCCCTTTGCTGTAATACAAAGGCTTCAAGGGCCATCGAACTGATGATTGTTTGCACGAGATTGGTCCGGTCGAGACAGTCTAAACAATTCGTCCGAAAGACCCCTTCCTGTTGCAAAATTACAGAAGATCTGCTTGATGGGCTGGGTCTTTCGTCAGTAGACATAGTCGTGTTGTTTTCCTCTGACAGAAAATGGGCAAAGCCGTATAAGGAGTGAGATATTTCATGCTTAATTTGGCTGCTAGCCCCGTATCCCAAAGGTCCGCGAGCCTCAGCATGAAAATCGAAATTCGTCATCCGCAGAAGTGTGTGGTCAGATGGCAATCCAGATTCCGCTTTCTGCTTATTATAACTAGATCTGATATGCTCTTGAAACTTGGCAGAAAGCTCAGCCTCCCCAGATTTTAGTTCACTAAGAAGATTGACCACATGTACTGCTCCATATTGTAGTTCAAGAGCCTCGAAATGTTTGTTGAAGGCATGGCGCGTGGCTTCGGTGGATCTAGTGACTTCTATTTTCTGCTGCCCTGGCAGAAATACAGCAGCCTGCTCCCAGAAAATAGGGACCGAGCCACGAACCTGAACGTAAGAAAAGGTGATACCAGGAGGGGTCCAGAGGATGATTTCCGTTTCAACAAAATTCGCAACGTTGCCATCATCGTCTATTCCACGTGAATTGAATCTTGTACCCGCCCTTCGAGAAGACTGGCGCGAGATTATAGTTATAGCAGAAGGGAAATGGGTCTGCGCATGAGGAAGAACGGTGACCGACGCGGGGATAGTCAGAGTGCCGGAGAAGCCACGGATAACACAAGTCAGCATCTGTGAGTTGTCGAGGTGCCGTCTATCAGCAGATGGTAGGTGGCTTCTAAATAGAAGCAGAGGGTGGATCATATGTAAATTCCAAAGCATGTCCTCCTTTAGGGCGTCAACGTCCAACGCCGCAGCCTTGTCTGACCTAGAGTTGATGTTAACTACGCGGTCAACGCCTGGACATTCGTACCGTCTCACCGATCTTGAAGCCGATCTGTGAGGTTGAAATCTAGACTATAGTAAAATGTACCATCACTGAGGAGCTTTTTCAAAGCTAGAAAGGGATGGTCCGTGATAGAATCTTTGCCATCATAGCCAGCTCCATTGTGAAGCTCCTCAGCTCCAAAAGACGCCTCTGAAATATTGTCGATTGCATCATGGTCCGAGCGATTCAAACAATCTGATGTTGGTTAGCAGAATGACAAGAACCGCAAGTATAGTTACGTACAGAAATCCACATTATCAATTCGTGAGACTGTTTCTCCTGGTCGGACAGTGGCAGCTCTGGAGGAACCAGTAACAACACAGATGAAAACGTCTTCATCAAGGGTTATTAAACCAAGCGTGCCATGTCCATCACCAAGCACACGATAGCCTGTCAAGTCTACTGAACGTAGACTTGCGAATTCAACCTGGCAACGGGGTACATTGTCATACCGCTGTTGAGAATTGATCGACTGCTCTGGCAAATTATATTGGAAGATCAACGCGTGGTTTTTGGTTGTCAGAGTGAGAATGCGTCTAGGGTAATCCTTGGAAAGGACCCTCAAGTTCGACATGGTTTCGATAGACAAGACGACGATAATTACATTGACTGTCAAGCCAATAGTAGAGCACCTTGGACAAGGTGGTGGTGTAGTTTGCTTGCCAAAACTGTCAGCAAATTACCTGTTATTGAGTGTTCTCAGACATTAGATTTTCCCCTTGGAATCGACACAAAATACGTGCTTGTTTCCCTCTTTGTTGAAGAGCTGATTTCTTGTAAAAGGAGTTGAGTATAAATTAATTACTTACCTTCAATCGTCCATGTAATCTATTATTACATCAAACCCCGCTAGAATGTTGGTACGCTTGGCCTAGACCCGTAGGCGGTCAACCCATTTCATGCTTCTTTTTTTCATTTTCATTTTTTTTTTTCCTGGGTTAACAATCTCCAAATCAGCGAGTATCGTGGAGTGATTCATTACTCCGTTGGTATGATTATTATTTGATGCTTTTCGAGAAATCCTTCATTTTCTACCCTCCACTTTATTTTCCCCCTTCAATGTTTGCCTGTTCCTAGTTCTTCCCTTATATAACGTAGCTCACTTTCAGGGCAATTGCCATTAGCAAATGGGTCTATCAGCACCTCGCAAGTACGTACAGTCGCATTTTTTTTTGAATCAGCATAAATGGATCTAGCATAACTAACGTCTCTATAGGAGAACCAAGATTTCTCATGACCCCAATAATACAAATTGGTCGCGGTCGACCAGTGGATTCGGACATAAAATCATGAGCTCCCAGGGATGGACCCCTGGGAGCTTCCTCGGCGCACGAGATGCAGCGCATGCTGACATGTTCACCGCTGGGAGTGCATCTCACATCAAAGTCACGCTCAAAGATGACACCCTCGGCCTGGGAGCACGGCCGGGGCGTGACCTTCTGGGTGAACCCACCGGTCTTGATGCTTTCAAGGGATTGCTAGGTCGTCTCAACGGAAAGTCCGATGCAGAATTGGAAGCCGATCAACAAAAACGGGATGAAATCAAGATGGCTCAATATACTGCGACAAAATGGCAGACAATCAGATTCATAAGCGGCGGCTTGTTGGCTCAAGAAAAACCCAGTGCTTTGGACGCAGATAAATCAAGCAACGACAAAAGCGCGGCCGATGAAACTGAGCGTGAAGATAAATCAGACCGTCAAGAGAAGAAAAAAAAGAAGAAGAGTCGACGTTGCGACGCCGACGAAGGACTGTCCAAGTCTGAAAAAAGAGCCAAAAAGGACAAGAAACGAAAACAGCCCGAGGATATTGACAACAAAGATGATAGCCTAGACAAGGGCATCTCAGATTCAAATTCGGTATCCACGGCCAGTCGAGAGGAGCCTAAGGATTCATCATCGTCAGATGTCAAACCAATTTCGAGAGAACGCCGCCCAGTTGGACGACAGATCTTCAGAAGTCGACATATTCAACAAAAAAAGAGGGCTGTCATGGATGATAAGTCTCTGAATGAGGTATTTAACATGTCACTGAGTAGTTTGACAAGATCTCCATACTAACTGCTGCAGATATTCATGATCAAATCGTAACATCGCTCGGACTTGACACAATAATATCTCAATCTTTATGCCAATTATCGCGACTGGGTTTGCGCCACAATACATGAATGACCATGCCAATCCCGATCAGCAAAAGACTATAGAACATACACAAATCTTACGATCTTAGACCGTGGAAGCATTTTGAATCTGTCATCGTTCAGGATGACAGACACACCTGGCTTTGACCGAGACTGGCTATGCTGCGCTCCTCAGGGAGTGTGTTTCCGAGTTTCAAGACCAGTCACAAGATAGCTGGCATGTATAGAAAGGGCTTCGGAAATATACGGTCCTGAGCTTCCTGGCGGACTGTGGGCTTGGCCAGGCCTGTTTTGGTATTGACAACTTCATAGAATATCAAACAATCAAATAATGAACATCGTCTCTATAACAATAAACACTACGCTTATCATATACCAAAACTATCTGCGAGACCCAGGACATGTCCGATTGTAGTCCTATAACATAGGGCGATGATGAGCAAGTACCATTCCATACATTCCTTATCTCTCTCTTATCTTTCACCAATTGTCATTACAATGTCCGGGCGGTGAGTGGAAAACTAGCTTTACCGCCTATCCATAGTTCTGGACCCCGCCACCGTATCCCGACCGCATGATCCGGGCTCTACTTATCGCCGAACTGCTTGGAACCACCCCGAGCTGCAACCTGTACCCACCTCTAATAGGTACCAGGCACAACAGTGCTGTCTTGGATCTTTATACAACTTCTTGGAAACACTGGATTGCTCGCAGATATGAGTGCACGCTCGAATGAAGGACATGGGGCTTCCATGGAAAACGGGAAGCTTGATACGCCCGAAGATGGCGGTGCCGATACTACTTGCAACCGAAAAAGTCACCTGGAACCGGGAGGGGAACGGAAGCATGGTCGAGTTACTGCTGGCAATACTCGAGAAGCTACGAAGAATAAACAGAAAAGGTTGGCTTTGATTTCCCCTCTCTTGAATATCCATCTAAATAACGAGTGACGACAACGCATCTAACAATATTGAATAGCGGTATTCGTTGGGCTCCCTTAAATGTTGGTCTTGAACGGCGCCTACAGACATTTGTGGTCCTATGCCATACCCTAACAATCGCCATATTCTTGACGATCTTCTTTTTCACTTGTGCTATCCCCTTGTCTTGGCCGTTTCTGGTGCCGTACCTAGTCTATATATCTCTTTTCTCTACGGCTCCCACATCGGGGAACTTGAGCGGCAGGTGCAATTTCCTGCGCTCACTCCCAATCTGGTCAATCTATGCATCGTATTTCCCTGCGCGCTTGCATCGCTCAGAACCTCTCCTGCCAACTCGAAAGTACATTTTCGGATATCACCCACATGGAATCATCTCGCATGGCGCATTCGCGGCTTTCTCGACGGAGGCTCTTGGGTTTTCCAGGTTGTTTCCAGGAATAACAAATACGCTGCTCACCCTCGATTCGAATTTCAGAATCCCGTTCTACAGGGAATATGCGCTGGCCATGGGCGTCGCGAGCGTATCTCGAGAATCGTGCGAGAATCTGCTCACGAAGGGTGGTAGCGACGGGGAGGGAATGGGTCGGGCCATCACCATTGTCATTGGTGGAGCTCGTGAATCTCTCGATGCCCTACCTCATTCACTCCGTCTTGTACTGAGACGCCGCAAGGGTTTCGTCAAACTCGCTGTTCGCACGGGTGCTGATCTTGTGCCCGTGCTAGCATTCGGCGAGAACGATCTTTACGAGCAAGTGCGCTCGGACCATCATCCCATCATCCACAAACTGCAAATGCTGGTAAAGCAGACAATGGGCTTTACGATCCCCCTGTTCCATGCTCGTGGTGTATTCAACTACGATGTTGGCCTAATGCCATACCGCCGCCCTTTGAACATCGTTGTTGGTCGTCCAATCCCGGTCGTTCAACAAAAGGACAGAAACAAGATCGATGACAACTACATCGACCAACTTCATACTGAATATGTGAAGGAGCTTGAGAGGTTGTGGGAACGGTGGAGGGACGAGTATGCTAAGGATAGAGTTTCGGAGCTTGAGATTGTTGCGTGATTTCATGGTTAATCGATCACGAATTTGGATTATCATGGCCTTGATTGCTCATTTGTATATATTTATATATTTTAGCGACATAGGTGTATTTTTCATTTCATCTGAGCCAGTGGTCGGAGATAGTTCCCAACAGCGCATTGCAGAAAGCAGAGAGGCTGGCCGTGTATTTATATGTATATATATATCTCCAGAGCTTGAGAAATTCTTGCAATCTTCGGGAGAGAAACCCAGACAATTGCGATCACATCTCTTGACTTCAAATTTTTGAAATGGGTCAACCGATTAGTATAACACCAATGCATGACCCTCTTTACCTTGAAGAACGAAGGAAAAACCAGTCTTAAAACAGAGAAGGATTGAAGAATTGACATGTTATGTTCTGGCTGAGCCGGGACACGAATGTTTTGAATTATACAACAACGAAAACAAGTATCCTGGGTATCTGACGAACTTGAGAAGCAAATTGCATACATGCGAGAAAACAAGAATGGAAAAGTCGGATGGAAATATAAAAAAGGGCATGGTTACATGGCCCGGAATGACGCAATAAAATCATGCTCGAAACAAAGACAATCTTGTCAAGGGCATATTTATGCCGATGTCTGGTCCGTCTCCGTCTGTGACTGTATTTGAGGGGAGCTGCCTGGGTTCAAACCTTGGACGTTCATCATGGATTCGGACGCGCGTCGGCTTTCGGTAGGAATGCGTACACTCCCACGAGCGCCCTTCACTAGATGTCCGCTCTTCACGCGGTCATGAATCATTTCGTCCAAAATACGTGATACATCGTCCATGCTTCTCCTTCGCTTCTCCTCTGCTTCCCCTCCTTTGGACGCAAGATCGCCATCGGAGTCAGCCTTTAGTGGATGGCCACCTATATTGATATCTGGCTTGTCATTGGTACTCAGAGGACGAGTGTCAGTGGTGATGTGTGCCAGATCTCGATGTCGGGCGGCTGAACGAAATGCGGCGAGCATTCGGTCTTTATCATCAAGTTGCTGGCGAAGTTCATTTATTTCCATGTCTTTCTCACGAAGCAGAGCCGTGGCATCGGGGCTTTCCGAGACGCTGTTTCCAGACTTTGCCCCCACTGACATCCGAGATTGGCTGGACCGCCTTGCTTGTAGCAAGCGCCTTTCCAACGTGGAGATATATCGGTTTTTGTCGGTAAGATCAGCCTGGAGGGCCGTGATCTGTGCTTGGGTGCTGGCATTGCCGTCCGCGAACTCACCCATGACGTCGTCCTCGTCTTCATTGCCGAACGAGCCAGGTAAAGTGCCGGATGGTTCGTTGCTATGCGCGGAGAGGAAAGAAACAGGTCGACTAAGCGTGTGCCCATACGCCGCTAAGGTTGACTGACTGGCTGAGGAGCGCAAAGACCGAGATCCGAGATCCGTTGTAGACAATCGCGAGAACCGGCCAAGAACGGACATGCTTCCATGGCTATTCACGCCGGTTGACTTGGAACAGAGGATCAGACGGTTGAGGTGTTCGATTCGTTCCTTTAATGCTGTCCGAGCCAACTGCATCTCTAGCATTTGTTCCTCGTGGCGAGCCTGGGTTTCCTTTTCAAACTGTTCTTCTTCAATTTTCAGAGTATTTTCCGCCTGTTCTTTGGTCTGATTCTCGAGTTGGCCGCGAAGAGCTTGGATCTCCATCCGATAGCGTTCCAGGAGAACGCGACTCCCTGCATCTCCGCCACCACCCCCAAAAGCCTCCTCCGCCCGTTTAGCATGACTGACAATACTATTCTTGGCGCGAGAGGCAAATTTCAGTGTGTTCATAGTTTCACTGGAATGGGAATTGGTCGCCCCGCCTAGTTGAATGGTACAAAGTATACTGACAAGCGAGTTTCCAGACAACGCAGGTTGGAGAAGTCGTGTCAGTTTGCTGTCTCGGAATGGTAAGTGCCTGCCATCACCATCACCTGATTTATCTTTGGTCTCCGACAGTCTTGATATGATTGTGCCTAGAGTGAGCAAGCTCTTGTTGATATGTGCACCTTCCGTACGCCGTTCTTTATCGTCTGCAGCGCGCTCAGAGCCAGCCAAGTCAATCAAGCTAAGTGTCGACACACGCACTCCGCCAGGGGCTATGCCTGACCGTCTGTCATGAGCACCTCCCGCAGGAGCTCGCTCTCTGCTTTCCACGACAATTTGGACGACTGCGTGACTTCGAGAACTGCGAGCATTAAACTGTGTACTGCCTGTTCTTCGGGCGTGGTCACCCCTTGCAATGACTCGAAGAAGTTGTGTCGGACTCTGGACGATTTCTTCTCGCAAGGGTGTCGCATACACTCCCCGTTTGCTGTCCTCGCGTAGTTTGATTTCCTCTTGCTGGGCGGTGGCCCCCCCGCTAGAAAGAGAAAGCAAGTCGTGAATCTTCTCGTTGTAGATTTCCAGATAGCTGACACGAAGGAGAAACTCTCGATGTGGCGTTTCGCGAATGAAAGAGAATATGTCGGTTATCGCCAACGGTATAACGCCAGGCGATGTTGCAGTCCCTTGCATTGAAAAGGTTTTACCAGTACCGGTCATTCCGTAGGCGAAGACCGTCCCATGGTATCCTTCCATTACTCGTCTTACAAGGCGCTTTGCAGCGGAATCGTAAACCTTTGCGTTGTGCTCCTGTGTCGAGAAAACATTATCTGCCGTAAGAAAACCACCTTCTGGTTAGCCACATATGGAATTCTTAGGAAGACGAAGACCTTGGGTACTGACCATAGGTATAATCACCGCCCTCTTTGCCCCCGCCAGAGATGAGGCCCCGTCGTCCATCCACCATCCAGTCGCCATTAGCCCTGGGGGTTTCAGCTCCGCCCGGTTCAGGCCTAACACGGACGCTCACGATCACATTGCCCTTTGCCTCCTTAGACTTAGAACCAGATTTTGAGTGACCCGTTGCATCATCCACGTCATCGAATGTGGTTGCACTGGTGGAATAGGACCCTTGTGCAGATGAGTTTCGACTTTGGGAGGGTGACCCCTCTTGCTCTCGCGCCTCCGAACTCAGTATCGACTTGCCTTCGCCCGCCCCGTTCAATAGTGATGGTGTTTTCGAGCTCCGGTGGCTGCTGGTCGTTCGAACGCTGACCCTCGAATCTCTCTTGGCCTTGACACTTCCAGTGGAGTGACCGTTCTGAATTCCCGAAACCGAAGACGAAGTGGAGGGGCGGCTTCCGCCCTTTGGTGGTTGCGGGAAAGCCGCGATACTGACTGTCCTGCGCAAAGATTTTTCCGGACTACTGGGAGTTCGACCGCCGGATATTGACCTCGGAGAGCCGAGGTTGGAAGCTGAATTGGACAGCGGGGACTTGCTGAGCGAGGGTCTGGGGCTTGATGGGGTTCTCATTTTTGAGGGTAGGTTGGACGGTGATGTAGACCTCGATATATCCGCTGGCACGAGCAAGCTTTTCCTCGTCTTCGGCGCCGGCAGCTGGGGTATAACGGCAGCTGGAGGGTCCCCAACGGGGCGCGCGTGTTGGGATAACGACATGATGTGATTCTTCTGCGCAATGCTGCTAGATACCCGTACGGCTTGACTTGATCGGGTTGTGATAGGAGGATGTAGTATGCTGAACCAAGTCAACGCGCGTGTGCGATATCTACACAGAAAAGCAGGGGTTTGATCACGGGCGCTTCCTACATATTCAAGGGTTAACTGTTGGGCGCCAGTTGGTCCACCGGAAATTGGGAACGAAAGGAAAGAAGGGGGCGGAAGGGCCAGAACGTACAAATTTCTGGCACCATATATGCCGGTCGACCAAGGGAAGGTTGTAGCTAGGGCGAATCCCTGGGGCCTGGTGTTTCCAGGGTGCTGTGGCCTTGTTCGTTATGAGACAGAACTGCCAGGTACAGAAGGTGGAAGAGGCAAAGAAGGATCCGACGAGAAACAGAGATGGGATCTCCACCAATTAAACGATCTTATCCGGAGGAACAGGTAAGGTAAACCCTTGGAGAGGAGGTGGAGTAAGTGTTTAGCTCCACCGCGATCGCATTCCAGATCCCAGGCTGTAGCTGAGCCCTCCAGATAATTGTCGCCGTGGGAGGATGAACGAAGTTGACGTGCGACAGACAGCAGGCCGCTTACGACACCAATGGGCGTCGGAATGGCAGAGTCGTGTGGTGGGTAAGGGAGATCCGAGTGCTGATCAAAGATACAAGCCCAAAACAAACAGCCCAGGGAAGAGGGGCCCTGTCTTTATTTCGACCGCGAAGGAGGTCGAGTCAGAGGAACGGAGTGAATCGATCATAGACGCGAAACATTTAGTCCCGGCCTTTGTTGAGATGCCTGTTTTGGGACCGATATCGAAATGTCAACTCCAGGCGCGTCTTGCACCGTGGGACAGAAAATGTGGATGCTAATTTCTGGATGAAAGGGGAAACAGGAGGGGGGCGGTTTCTATGGCGGATGGGGAGAACGTGCCAAGGGGAGACTAATCAATTAACGTGTTCTCTTATCTTACCTCGAGCTCCAGACCCGGAGTAATTTATTAGATTTGTCCATCATGATGCTTTTCGACATGTCCTTTCTCTCCGTCCCTGAAGAGCTTCATTATGTTCTAGTCGAACAGTCTGATCAATACATGATACTGCAGGTATAGTTACTTTACGCTGTGCCTTGCCCATAGAGCCACCTTCTGTCAAGATAGCAACCAATGGATTCTGCTCACGAGGACAATAAGGTCTTACGTACGGGTATACCACATGTATTAACTAATAGTAGATACTACCTAGGTAGGCTAGTAATGGTACCTGGTATCACCCCGTAGGTACGGTATCAACTTTACCTGATGAGAGATGGATCGGCATCCCTATAATCGTACCTTTGACAAGGAGTAGAGACTGGCCAGATGGTAAATTACAGGTAATCGTCCTCATGTGGGCACAACACTAGTTTAGAACCGATAGTTGTTCCCCAACACCTGTTCCCGCATATCCCATCAGGTACGGGGTAACCAAATACAGAACCACGGGCCATCCACTCTTAAGGTTTAGGTGGATTTTTCTAAACAACAATAACAAACTCTTTTCTCTGGTGAGAAAACTATGAATGTACCAAGATCATGCTGCTTCACGTGGCAAGACGCACGGAATAAATCTTAAATCTCGTTCAGAATTTAAGACAGAGTTGGATGATCATCAGTATAGTTAAGGTTATCATGGACCACCTTACGACTCGCGTCTCCCGTCTAAAATTGCGATTTGCAGGCACCAAATTAGAGAACAGACGAGTATTGATATTGTGGATACACTGGATAGCATATACAGGAGCCAATGTCAGTAGTCTTTTCCCTGACTATGTGATCTGCTTAGAGACAATGTACGGAATTCATCGTCCGCTGTCCTCCGCCGAGTACCTGGGTCCTTACTACGAGAGTAGCCAGACCTTAGGCGGCCCGGGGAAGCGGCTCATCAACAGTAACCTTGGAAGATGGACCAGGAATAGCATCTCATTGGTAGTCAAAGCTCAAGGGGCAAGAAGTTTAGGATGGTCCACGGTACTTTTGTCCCCTGCCTAGTTTTTTCAAGGATGGATTCCGCAAGGGCGCTTCAATCCAATTGTTAACTTCCCCGCCTGGCGTGGGCGTACAATGGCTTGATCGGTCACTCTAGGGTCTCTAGGGTATAATATAACCTTGTGGATATTTTCTTGGCTCATACAGTACGTATCTACACATGACATTGGATTGCTTACAAAGTTTTATGGCAATGTAGAAATAGCTCACCAGGCTGACGGTCAACTCCGCCAGTACTATTAACTACCGAAATAACGCGGCTATCCTGAGTACATTATTTGAACACCGTACTCCTAAGATCTGCATCTGGCTCCATGATTTGAACGGTTAATGGTGACTCCACGCTGCGCATTTTACCGCTTAGCGCCGGTGAAGTCCAATTGTCGCGAAGCGCGTGCGAACTGGGTTTCATCAATATCTGCCCCCATTCTAGTAAGATCATCGCCCATTTTTTCTGTACCGCCAGCCTTCTTGGGGAGGTTGTCCTTGGCCGTTGGCTTGGGTTCCGTGGACCACCAACTGTGCTGTAAAACCTGGCGTGCCGTGCTCCGTTTCTTGGGGTCCAACGCGCACATCGACATGAGTAAATCTGCACCGACTGGGCCCACGGTGGGAAATTGCCGAAGGAAAAAGTCTCGACCTTGAAGCGGTACAATGTGGTTTGGATCGACGGGCAAATAATGTGGTAACTTAGTGACCCCAGGCCAATTGTCTTCGGACGGCGTGCCAAATGCGTCGCATATCTTGGAAATTTGATCAAGATCAGAGTTGCCGGCGACGAATGGGACACGCAGGAGGAGTTCTGCAAACACCATTCCCATGGACCAGACATCCACGACACCCGAGTATTGCCGCGCGCCATACAGTAGCTCTGGGGGTCGGTACCAGCGTGTGATCACTTGATGGGTCATGTTCAAGTAGGGGTCAGCAAACGATCTGGCCAAGCCAAAATCTGCCAGCTTGACGTCGCCATCCGACGCAATAAGCAAATTGTTCGGTTTGATATCACGATGCAGGATGAAGTTTTCGTGACAAAACCAGACGCCCCTGGCAAGCATTCCCATCCAAGCTTTGATATCAGCAGCACCGTAGTGTATATTTCCATCTTTGATGAGCATTTCCAGGTCGCCCAGAGGTAGAAATTCTAACACCAAATTGAGATTTTGATCCTTAGAAGAAAACACATCGTGTAGGGCAATGACGTTCGGGTGTGATAGTTCTTGGAGGTATTTTACTTCCCGGATGGCATCCATGGAGAGTCCGTCCTTGTATTCAGCATTGACCTTGATCTTTTTTATAGCCACACATGACGACGGATCGGCTCGAAGCCGGCCGAGATACACTACTGCATAGGTACCCTCACCTAGCTTTTTTTCTACAGTTTCTGTCAGTCCTATGCTGATACTCGGGATGAGAGTGATTGCGGAGGGAGATCAGCGAATTAGACATCGCGGTCATACCTTTGATGTACTTATGCCGAACATCGTCGTTCAATTGCTCCGTGAGTTCTCGATTTGCATCTGTTTGAGAAGTCTCAGGCACCTGTAGGCTTTCCTGCGCATTACGTGAGGCCTGAGAAGACACCCTGACCGGTTTGATCGCGGCACTGGACGAGGGCGTTGTCACTGAAGGGGACCGAGTGAGTACAGGTGAGACTGCCATTGCCTTTAGTTCTCAGTCACTGTGGCCCTATCTGCCTTTAACAACAAGAAATGACGACAGCGCCAGGACAAATGTCCAAGTGACAAATTTGCCGCAAAGCCCTGGGAGGGGAGGCGGGGGATTAAATAATCAGCAAAGCATCCTTCTATGAGACACTCCCTTTAAATAGGCGTCCTTTTTCTTGCTTGATTCCTGGAAGCAAGAGGTAAATGCTTAGAATTCAATAGAAAGAGAGCATAATCTTGAAGAGCATGACGGGACTCGCAAGTTCCAGCTCTATGAGGTGTTGTAGGACCACGCTAGGAGGCCTTGTGTTCGGAGTTACGTTGATCCAGTGTAGCCGAAATTTCTCTGACATCCGCGGTGTTCACTACTTACCGACCTGGACATTGACAACTGGAATGGAGAGTATACACCAGTGAGGTCACTTTTCTTTGTCAATTGAGCCCAGGAAACCCCAATCTACTCCTGGTGGCCCCGAGTGCTCGGCATTATCAGCATTTCATTGCAAACTCGACAATACAGAACCCAACCATGGCGTTGCGCAACCCCCAACTCCTGGCTTTCCGACCCATCAGGCCTTCTATCATCGCCAACCAATGCATCCGACATTTCCACGGTCAGACCAGCAAACCCTCCACTGTGCCGCCCCCCACTCCATTTGTCCCCAATGTCGAAACCTTCCTCTCTCTCATCGGCCGCGGGATGTCCAAGCACGCGAGCAAGCTACCATCCTGGGACAAGCTTTTCACCCTTAGCTCCGCCGAACTTAGAGACCTAGGCATTGAGCCCGCGCGACAGCGACGATACCTTCTTCGGAAACGAGAGAAGTTCAGGCAGGGCATCTACGGGCCTGGCGGTGATCTGCAACACGTTGCCGATAGCGCAGCACAGTTGCGCGTTGTCGAGGTTCCCGTGGACCCCAAAGCCCCTTCTCAAGCGATCAACTCATCGAACCCTACCAACGCCTCGGCGACTCTGACTCCGGGGATGAGAAAGGTTATCGTCAACCTCCCGCCTGATGCCACGAAATATACTCCCGATTTGTCGACTCCTTTGCAGAAGTTCGCACACATGAAGATCCACCGCGGATCGATGCTCAAAGGCCCGTTTTTGCAACCAATCAAGGGTACAAACGGGACCGCAGCTTTGATCAAGGCTCAAGAGGGTATGTGGGAGGACAAATTAGGCCACAAGGTGGATGGCGGTGAAAGGAGGCGTGCTGAGGTTCGGGCCAACAGGCGGATTGAGGAAAGGCGAAAGGGAACGGCATAAATGTATTCTTCTTTTACGTGTGTTTTAGCTGCATAGGCGGCTTGTATTATATCATTTGCATACGCAAAATGGCGGGTCTAGGATCTCCAATGAATTCCCATTCTCCACAGCAGGAAAAAACAGTCAAAAGTATTTGTGCTGTCTAATCAGGTCGACATACTCTTGACTGGGAAGGCCCTTTCATGTATGCCTATGTGATCATTATTTTACAGTGTTCCATTTGCGCAAGATTCGTGTTTTCATAGCATGTGATTATAATCGTATATTGTTAAAAGGATATGTATAGCAGGCGACGCCCACGAAATAATTCTATGTAATGTACACCAGCCGTACAAGTAAGTAGGAAAGGACCACATGCGCGTCCGAAGAACAAGCGGCTTTGACCTCAGTGCCCGAGGAGTGACCGACTTTCCTTGGATTGCGTAGCACAACGGTTCATATGGAGATATCCATCTAACCAATACTCATTTCGTGACAGCTGCATGGATCAAAGCTCATTCCTTGGAGGGCGTATCGCGCCTCTCGAATTCCACGAAGGATTTGCCGAGAGGTTTCGAGAACAGCGACTAAATTGTTGTTAGTTAACTTGGTATTCACAAAGTTTGGTGCGACTTGGACAACATACCGAATAATCCGTATCGGGAAGCTGTTCGACATTGGCCACGTTGCGGAATTTAAACAATTTCACAAGAGCGGCAGTGATTGTACCGAGTTGGACATAAGCGAACTGTTCGCCGATGCACCTGTGACGCCCAGCCCCAAAGGGAAGATATGGGCTATTGGTGCCCTTGGTGACCAAGCCATACCCGTAGTCGATCGTCTCTTCATCCTCGGTCGTCTTCTCGTCAGTCTCATCCCAACGGTGCGGATCCCATTTGAGAGGGTCAGCAAAGTATTCTTCCGATCTGGCTGTGACACCAGGCGAAGAAAGGACGTTATGGGTGGTCGGGATCACGTATGGCGTGTCGTCCACCGGCATCGGGTTCTTAACAGCGCGAATGATCGAGTGGATAGGAGCATGGATGCGCAAAGTTTCTTTGATGACCTTAGAGTGCAGCTCCAACTTCTGCAAACTCTCGTAAGTAAGTGGAGGCAAATCCGACCCAAGAACACGGAGCTGTTCTTGATAAAGTTCTTCCATAACCTCGGGGTTTTTGGCGAGATTGAGGACGATCCAAGCAGCAGTAGAGGAAGACGAATGCTGCCCAGCCATGAGCAGGGCAATCATCATATGCGCAATCTCTTCATCGGGAACTGGCTTGCCACTCTTGTATGCGCACGACATGAGATTCCACACCATATCTTCGGAGTCCTTTTCAGTCCCAGCCTTGCGACGTTCCTTGATGATCTCCGTATATGTTTCAGTCAATTTCTTCTGGGCGGCATCGCGTTTCCGATTGTGTGGAAGGGGTGCCCAAGGGAGCATGAAATTGATGGGAGCGAATCCCATGTCGAGGTGGTGATACATTTCCGCGAAAGTGGAGTCGAATCTCGAGCGGACCTCCTTGCCCTGGAGAGACCGGGAAGCCGTGTAGATGGTGATTTCGGCGATTGTTTTGCAAACGTCGAAGATACCACGATCCCCCTTGAAAGCAGGGGACTTTTGAGCGAAATCTTCCACCTCGTCGGTAATCAAGCGAACGTACGAGCGCAGAGCATCAGATGTGAGACCAAATTTGACAAACTATACCCGTTAGCAACTGGCAGAAGCATTGACTGTCAGGGTTTGTCTACCTTCTTCTGCTCCATCAACTTGGAGTTGGGGCAGTCGTATACGACATGACGCCCGAAAACCGGAGTCGTGAGTGGCGAATAGACTTCTTCGGCGCAAACGTCTCGAAGCTTGCCATTGAGGATGAAATCGTTACCCTTGGTGCCTAGATAGACTGTCGTCTTTTTGCCGAGGAGTACGAAGGTGAAGATATCGCCGTACTTGAGAGAAGTAAGTAAAATGGGACCAACATATCCGAGCAGAGTTTGGGCACATGGCATACCTTTTTGCGACAATCAAAAAAGAACTTATAAGGCTCCATGCCATAGCTAATAGTGCTACCGACGAAAGGGAACCAGTGGAAAACCAGGGGGGGTTCGTTCGGATTCTTGAACAGAAGTTGTCTGAAGACATTGACGAAAACTGAAAGAGCAACGACAGTAAATAGTCCAACTCCAACAAGCACGCTCAAGGGCAAATTTGAGCAGTGCTCGCAGATGTTGCTGAGAATGGCCGCGAGGAGACCCATGGTTGCGCGACGAAGAAGAAAGGGGGGCGAAGAATCAGGTTAAACGCAAGACATAAGAGAGAAGTGGCCGGCACAGAAGACACTCTCCTAGATCTGTTAAGAAAGAAAATTTCGAGATTGCCCCAAACCCCTTTGTAGTTTGCGAGACCAGTTGGAAGGCGGTCGATCAGAGATTTGCGAGTTGGTGCAGTTGATATACTCGGGGGCGAAGAGGAAAAAAGAGTAAACGGCCCCGATTCGATGGTGCCTTGTAATTTAGGTAGGGTAGGTACCTCCTAATTGGAGCCAATGTCGGTGTACGGGGTTCTAGCCGCTGCTTGGTATTCAGGTACGGGATATGAAATTAATAGGTATTAGATATCCATGGTACTATGGGGGCAGTGCGTAATTTAAACGCTCTCACTGGACCGGTGCGCCCCGCCTGTTGGAAATTTGCAATATCGTATGCAAAATACAGATGTCATACTAACCCCTTGATTGCGCAGTGGTGAGAACACGTTACTGCACAGTACTACTGGGGCACAACCCAGATATCTACCTCCTGGCCTTAGGGTACTTGGTGGTTTATGCTTGGTATAAAGCTATAGAAATGACGAGCTTGAGGAGTGAGGGCCAATAAAGATAACTTGACCTCACCTCACCGCTAGACTAGGTGGCATTGCAATCATCCCTCAGGTGGAAGTTTTTTAAGTCCTCTATACGCTGCAATTGATAAACAACAAATGACCATCTTTCAAGCAATATCTGAGTCTCTCTACTCTGTAGAGTGCCTACTCGCAGGCCGTGATGTACAGAAAAATCAGTTGCCTATTACTAGATCGTTGCGCTTTTGTTCTTTGTCTAGGCCACTCTTGCATCGCTAGCATCTTCCGTCCCTTAAAACAATCATAGAACGAACTTTCATAAACATATGGGACTTTATTCAAGAATGAATTGTCCGCTGGAAATCCAACGCCAATGGATGTAAATGTACCGCGGTGTTTGACAATAATCAGACCTTCTTGAGTGACTAACTTAGGATGCCGCTGGGTGAGCAATTCTTATTATCGGCAGATGTAGCAGTCCTAACACAGCCAATTGACTAGCTCATAGTTCGTTTAGTGATAATCGGGAATAGACCCCCTACACTAGCAAGCGAAGACCTATGATCTCGAGATACCTTTGGCAAAAGAGTCCACGCGGGGTCGGTTGCCTCATTAGTTGTATCGACTAGTGGGGTCTTCCTCAAACAAAGCGGGATCCCCTTTCTCGCCGAGATTGACGAAATCCCTGGGCGCACTCTTGTCACCGGGGGATTGTGGCTGGGAGACTTTGGCTTGCCGATTATGCAAGCGCTTTCCTGTATTGTTCTTGTGGAAAACCTTGACCGGAGCCCCATTGCCCTCTGTACGCTCACTGAAGTCGATGTCGTTGATACTGCTGAGAAGAGTTCGCTCACGCGAGATTTTCCGTTTCGAGAAGTCCAGCTTTCCCAGCGCCCCAGTGAGTCCGTCGGTGCTATCTGAGACCTGGATGTGCTTTCCCGTAAGCCAGGGATGCTCTAGGCATTCCTCGACCGTTATTCTTTTGTCAACGTCAACTGTAAGCATTCTATCAATGAGGTCCAAAGCAATGTCGCCCACGGAATCCCAGTAAGGGGATGGATAGTCAAAACGTCCCATTTTGATCTGTTGCGCCAGAGTATACGGGTTTTCAGCCGTATAAAGCTCATCGGAAAATGGCGGAAAGCCACATAGGCATATGTAAAGGACAACACCAAGTGACCAAATATCAACCGCTTTGGTATACCGTCGGCGGCGAGATTCCTGTAGGATTTCCGGAGCAACGTCTTTGACAAGTAAGTTCTAGTGATCCTATCACAAGTTCCGTTATGACTTACAACTAGGTGTTCCACATCTGGAAATGGTATAACGTCAGATTTCAAATTTCACCACTTTCGCAAACTTCGGGGTTCTGAAATCTTACAGGGTCGTCGTAAATGAATCTTCCCCAATAATCTTGGCAAGACCGAAGTCGGCGAGCTTCACTGTCATCTTCTTGTCTGCAACAAGAATATTTTCGGGCTTGATGTCACGATGGACGATTCTGCGGTCATGCTTGTTCCGGGAAATCAGCACTTTCCTAGAAAAGAAAATTGGGGGTTCTAATGCAAGAAGGGAGGAAACATACAAGGTACTTCAAGCCCTCAAAAAGTTGCAAGAAAATGTGTCTAGCCTCATTCTCTGAAAATTTCTGTTTTCGGACGATGAGATTGAACAGCTCGCCTTCCGGGGCAAGCTCCAGAACAAGATACACACCATCGTTCTCATCGAAAGTATCTTTGAGACACAATAAGTTCGGGTGACTGACACTCATCAAAAGACCAATCTCCTGATGTAAAGGGTCGGCCTGGGACTTCTGGGAATCGCCAGGGCGTTTTTCGAATAACTTCACAGCATATTGGGTGCCCGTTGAACGCTCTACACAGAGATAAACGGTCGCGAAATGGCCTTTACCGAGCTGTTGTAAAATCCTGTACTGTTGGCGGAACCCATTCGTGTCCCTCGTCCGAGGATACCGGAAGACGAAGCGCGCTTCATCTAAGATTGTGATCTCGTCGCCGTCTTCTAGTTCGCGTTGTTTATTTCGCCCGATGATCGCGTCATTGACAAACGTGCCATTGCTGGACAGGTCCTCCAAAATTGCGACGGTGTCCCCTTTCCGGTTTTCCAAGAATATTAGGAAGTGTCGATTGGAAATAGTGGGGATGTTAAGAACAAGATCTAGATGTTGTCAGTCAAAATTCGGCAGACCTTGCCTGTCGCCATGACCTACCGCATTCTGGGTGACGGCCGACCAGATACCCACCAGGGGTCGGGGCCTTTTCTTTGTTTTGCCCGCACCCCGCCCGGGCATCCTTTCCGGAGTTGTTGGACCTGGATGAGCCGCCTTCACAGCTTCCTCTCTTTCTCAATACAAGGGCATCTCGAACTTTATCGTCAAGAGGGATTATGTATCCCCAAACCCCCTCCTCGGCCTCATCTTGAACCTCATCTGCGAAAGCTCTGGGTGGGTATACGAATTGAGAGAATGCCTGGGTATCACCTGGAGGCGAAGAGTATTCTGGAAACTGTACTGACTCGGGTGGAGTGTGAGAACGAGCTTGGGCAGAGGGTTTCGGTGGGGTCGCTGTTGTTTCTTTCCTGATGTCTGTAGCAGTTGAAGCTTGGCGGGTCATCGGCGTAGGAAGATATGAGTCATTGATTGGGGTACCCTGAGATTGCTGTGATATGATCCTTTGAGAACGCCGTGGTTTCTTCTGATCCTGCGAGTCGTGACCTGCACTGATCTGTAGTCAAGACGGGCTCATCAGCGGCGTTATGTGCATTCCATTAATATGCTACCTACCCTGCCGCGCTTGAGAGAGCTTTGCTCCGTTTGGGGTGTCATTGTTGCCTCTGATTTGGAAATTGTTTATCCCTGACACATTATTCAACGTGCGTCGGACTGCTATTCATTAGGTCCTTCAGGTAGTCCCGCTGAGAAAAGGCGGTCTTGAAAACCAGATGCGAATATCGATAGAGAAGCTTTCCTGTCAGGAAATACTGTTTGGTCCAAGGATGTGTTCCTTTCCTTTTTCCTTTTAAACCCGCACTGGTTTGATTTCCGAAAAAAAAAAAAAAAGTGAATGGACCAGGTGGGATGAAGCAGAGGTTATGTAGGGACGAAAAAAAAGTAGCGGTTGACTTTCGTGTTTGGCCTTAATATTATTAACTCCAAAGTTAGTTGGCTACCAGTAGCTTCTTCCTACGACGGAGTACACAAACGGGTAAGTAAAGTACCAGGATGCTCTTTCTAGCTTATACCTTGGGGCGGTGCTTACCTGAGCCGCACTGGTACGGAGCCTTTGGGACCCCCAAAGATTCACTACACGCCGCACAGTACATAGGTATTACACCCGTGAGTGGGATTTACTGTTTATACCATGATCTGGCAACATGTAATCTAGGATCTACGGAGTAGGTGTCAAAAAATAGAAGTATTGAGAGGTTCCTGGCATACTCCAACTGGTGTAGACCTCCACAGTGGAGAACCACACAATGACTGGTTTGTTTGACAATGTATTAGTCGATTTTATCATCTTAATACCGAGGTCGTACTGGGTGGTCTCACTATGGCGATAAGAATAGGTAAATTACAGATATCCATGTATCTTCTGGTATTGGGGGCGGAAAAACAATATTGCCATCTAAATACTATTCTTAGTTGTAAACTGCTGGAGGAACCTGAGAACCAAGGCTTTTAGGTTCTAAGTGCAGCTGCTAATGAATTTAGACCCACGTGGGTATGATGGTACTAACAACTACACATCACCCCTATGTGCCATTTCCCCATTGACACATTCACAGGAGAGTTGGGGGGTTCAAAAGACGGTCATAAGCAGCAATAGCGAGCTCCCTACATCTGTTTTGAACCTAAAACCGCAACAATGGATGAGTCAGTAATTTGATCTCCATACCCCTGAAGTCAGGGCGCTGATCCGAGTATAGGTTTCCCAAGAATATAAGAATCTCGGCACTTGAGAAGTTAGGAAGAATTGCAGTGAAAGCAGCAGACGACGATGCAAAATCCGACATTGCGCGGCTCACAGGACAATGCCAGCACCTGACACACCAGCCCAATGGTCCGCTCAATGAAGTCCTGCAAACTCAGGCTCCGGTCTCTCAGATACCTATGGTTTGTTATTCCCCCCCCCCTCCTTTTCAAGTGCCACCCAAAGACTAACTTATTAATTTTCGTAGGGTATCCGAGAACTAGATGTCCTTATTGCTCTATGCAAGGCTTCATCTTCGGTAAACAAACCCGAGCATGCTTCTAGATTGGTCTCTCAATTGTCGCTGTATATTCCCGAGTCGCATTGCCAACGATTTCGCGCCTCGCCTTTCCTACATAATGTCCAGCCTTCGCCATGGGAATCTCTCACTTACAATCTTACACTCGGGCTGCTTTCTCTGGGTTTGGATTACCCGTCATTGCGAGAGTCTGTTTACAACTCCATCAAAGGATACTTGGACAATTGCGCAGAAGCTATCAATGCTGTCCCAACCTTCAAAGGGTACGACACAGATAGATACAATGCAGTAAACGAGTCCGCCAATGTCTTGTCACTTACTGTGTCGCTTGTTGGCTTTCTAGAGGCCTCCACGCTCCTTACGTCCTTCTGGTCTGCTAGTGAAAAACTACAGATTGTCGAATGTATGCGCTCAATGTTGTCCGACCACTTTATGATAGCTATCGAGACTGCATCTTCCACCATCCGTAATACGGGAATGGCCGATCCCTCTCTCGGGGATTGGAGGCGATACAATCGTTTTTATGCTACTCGAGGTCGTCCTCTAGGGGCCATGCTTCTTCAGGAGGCGTTCATGCGGTTTATCAAATCGTGCGCCACGTCTCTCATTGGAGCAGAGAATATGTCAGACGATGAACTCTTGGATGACTACATGAATGGTGTTGGCATTGCCAGGAGCCATGACCACGCTGAAATATCACTCATCAACCGCATAACAGAGATCGTCGCTGACCAGATCCAACTGTTGGAAGATGGCTCTGATTACCTACAGCTCGGTTCACCTTGGCAGCAGAGACTTACTTTTTCTGTAAAAGCGCTTGCACTAACTGGATTTCTCCACTGTGTCATTCTGAGTGAAGATGCATCCAACCGTGACCACTTCCTGTCTTGGCTAGAGGATACGCTGGTGGATCCGGGTCAAATGTCATGCAATGAGCTAGCGACAGCCACTCTGAAGAGTGTGGCCATTATTGCGAAAATGTCTCTGAATAGTGCCTCTTCCGGAAGCCGTTCTCTTCTACGATTTATCGTTGATGGCGGCGTATCGACCAGATCTACAAGCTTCGTTGCCGCAAAATGTCTTGCCCAAGTCCTGGCCATCCTTTCGGAAGATGCCATTGTTACGACTCTGTACTCGCTGGGAAACGTCTTAAGTCCTGGATTTGGAACGGAGAACTCTCGCCAATCTTATGTCGTTGGTGATACTGCTGGGCATGGGAACCCCCCTGCTCCACTGGCACAGGGGAGGAATGGCAGTGTTGGCAACCTTTCAATTCATGGCGAACGGGACAGCACCACCTACAAAAATGTTATCCATGCCATTGTGACAATTGCCAGTGGCTGCAATGACGAAAAGATCAGTGCTTTGGCACAATCAATGCTTCTCCAGAAGATAGGAAAGATTGATATTACTGTCGATTCTTACATCGTGAGGGAAACTGCTGCATTATGCTCTAGCACTGGACCCTCCGAGTTTCAGCTGTTACTCAAGTTCTATGATCGCATTTACCGGGATAGTTCTGCCAAAGGACATAGCAGCATTGTCAGTGCGGTCCAGGATGCAATGGCCTACCTGTCTGTTACACTGCCAAGAGAATCACCGCTGCACAAATTATACTTGGTCCATTTGTTAGGGAGTATCGTGAACAAGGGAGACGCCACTGACATTGAGGGCGAAAAACTAAAGGATATTATCCTGGCTCCGGACGATATCAGCCCCCTCTTGAAACCGCTGGCATTGCTCGTTTCTCCCAGAATCGGCAACCAAGAGCAGCATGGAGCGAACCCCGAGTACGACCAGGACGTTTCTACCTTGTTCCGCGATGCTTGGTTTAATATTGCGGTCCATGGCATATTTCTTGGTTCGAATGTTGCTAGACGCCATATGAAGGAATTGCGCCTGCTTGCTAAATACTCGCCCCCTCTTGTTGCTGAAGATCGTATGGAAATGCTTGAAAGCGATGTGGAGTTAAATACTATCCTTAGGCGCGGTATGGGGCCCCAACATCTGCAGGAACAGAAGAGAAATTTGGCGACCGAGATCCCTACTCGCGAGTCCGAGATCAAACGTCTAAGCTACCCTCGGGCCGTCTTCCTCAATGCCGCCCTACTTGTCGAAGGTTTCCGTGCTTCATCTGGTAATTGTACCAAAATACTGAAATACTTCCGGGACCCCGCTTTATCCACCGTTGAGATGGCCAGTTGCATGAACGCCATTGCCGAGAAAGTCGTTGGTCGGTATATCTCTTTAACCCTAACGGGCAAGCGCGAAAATTTCTCCATCCCATACCTCTCAAAGGAATTGGCTGGTTTTTTTATGGCCTGCTGCCATCGCATAGAGAGGGTCCAGAATGTCGCCACACTTTGTGCGAACATGATTATCAAGGAATGTCCATCGTCTCTGTGCGAAAAACACTCCCTATTCGCGCTCCTCGAGCTACTGACTGTCATGTGGTTTTCGTGCGTTGAAGAAGAACTCGATGAGTTCGAGTGGAAGCCTACATTCACGTCACGTTTGGGACTTGTCAAGGTTGACTTGTCTGACAACTTCCAATTCAGGAAGAAGACTTTGCATACGTTCCTTGAGCAAGCAAGGGTTTGGGTTACAACCGTGATGGATGTGGCACCTTTAGATGTGAAAGGTCTTCTTCAGGTACCTTATCTTTCCCGACACCTACACTGCCGTGCATATCTAACCGGAAATTAGACGTATCTATCCACATCTGAGGACAACGGCGATTTTGGGCATATTTCACTGGGACGCTCTTTTGCACTTGAAATGGGCTCACTCATTCCCAGAAGCGACCAGCGTCTTGGTACAACTCCCCTTCTATGTCTCTTTGGACAGTTCATGTAGAGGCTAATGAGTATTACGTCCAGGATCCATCGATATATCAGGGACCAACAAGATAAATGTGGCCTCTGACTTCATTGCTCAGTACACCACACGCCAGAAATATCGATTTACTGATATAGTCTCGGATGATGGAACAGGGGATGATACGTACAAACGGAAAAGTTGGTTACCCGCAAACATTGACATAGGTCGTCCAGGTGACACTGATTAATTCTTAGGGTTTGAAGTTCCAGCAGCAAGTGTATCTGTCTTGGAGACAAGTAAACATGTGGAGGATGCTTTGTCCCATATGTGTCAATGGGCCGAGCTGGGGAATGACATTTGCCTTGACGAAGTTCGGGATTTGCTGCGGCGCGCCGCTGCTCTGTTATGCACTAGAAGCGGACGCCATGCTTCTATTGCCCACTATCTGGTAACATTGCCTTTCCAGATATTCACGAGAGAATCAATCAGCATCGGTGTCCCACTCTGGTTAGGGGTTATGCACGAAAACCCCCGGATGGAGCCGAAACTTCTCGCTGAGATCACCGCTGCCTGGGATAAAACCATCCAGCGCGGCGTGGGACTTTTTGACCCATTCTTTGAGTAAGTACAAGGGCACTCTCTATAAAGTTGATTACTTCTTTGCGACTGACCTGGGGACCACCAACTAGCTATGTGGATCCATTATACACGAGAATCGATCTTTTGCCAACTGACAAGGCCTTGATGCTCAAAAATCAACAAAGGGCACACGACATA